GTATATTAGTAGTTGTTAGGTGTGTGCGGTGGGCTGCAGGTGCTTTTTTTTCTTAAAGAGTAGGTGGCATGCAGGTAGCGACGGGGAGCGGGATGGTCCAGTGCCCCGTTTTCTGTTGATGCTCGCTATCCTTCAGGCTGACCGAAAGTGAACATGAAGGACACCGGAGAGTCAAAGGACCACCAGCTAACTGTGAGTTTCAACCTATGCTTTTTTTTAATGATATTTTTTTTATTGAGCTCTAACACCTTTATTAACTTTGTCAAATGTGTTCGCTCTGTTGGTGAGTAGTAGAAAACCATCACCATTTAATACAAACAAGCTCATAAATTTGCTGCCAGTTAACTGAACACTCGGTGATCACGTCATTAGAGTACACCTGTAGGCTGCAGTCCTGTGAAGTTTGCCTAAAAATTGCCTGTATTTTTTGTTGAATGACATATGCACTAAAAGGTGGCTTCACACTGGATACCAAATACCACCCTTTATTTTAAAAAAGCAAACAAACAAACAAACAACCCCCCCTATTCACCCGTAAGTGACCTCGGCATTAAAACATATAATTTAATTAAACTAAACTACATTAGCGGCATCATGGAGTTAGCCTAAGCATAGTTTATTTTTAGGTTCTTGTTTTCCTTTCTAGTGATTTCTTCTTGAATTCCTAACTATTTAAGCTGCTGGCGTTTATAGTGAATGTTCAATTTTCTTTTATACCACCTGCATTGCAGCCCTTACCTGAATTATTGAAGTGGCTGTTTCAGTTGCCTGGCCTCTCTTGTCCCCCATGTAATACACCTTCTACATGGTGCTGATAGAGAGAGGACCTTATTATTTCTATTTGTTGCCTAGGTGAATCTAAGGTGGATCCACATCACTATAAAAGCCCTTATATACACGAACGTCATAGCACATTTGTTTGAATGCATATGAATGCAGCTCATGTGCCACCCCTGTGGGTCTAACACACTGCTGGTATTGCTACACTCTGTTTTCATCCTGTTTTAATTCAGTCAGAGCTTTCTGCTGATCTCTAAATCATGCAGACAGATTTAGACTAACAGCAGGAGTCTGAATGTGCATAATGCTGTCGTATTACAATGCTCCACTCATTAAGTTGTTATGTGTGTGCCAAGTGCCATCCAGTATTCATAATTTAGACTCTAAAACTACAGTTCTGCATTTAAAGTGATATTTTGAGTTTCCAGTTTACCTACCCTGGTTGAATTGGGGTTGTGAGAGAGAAAAGACTTAAAAGTTAGAAGATCCTGCATTTTTCCGCTAAGTGTGATTATACCTTATTATTAAGTTAAATGGTGAAAAAAATGTGTTTGACATTTGAAAGATTACTCGTGCAATTTATGTGTTTCATTTCCGTGAATTTGGGTTATTACAAGGAGACATCTTTTACAACTCCCTTAATGCAATATAGCAGTGTATCATAGTTCCCCTTCCTACTTATATTCGCACATCTTTATTATTCTAAATCACATTTCATCTTCAGGGATTTTTTTTTTATCCTGCACAAAGCCAATCCTGAGCTGCATTGAACATTACTCACCTGCTTTCTTCATTCCCAAAACCATTGTAATGTTCGAAATCAGCACAGCGTGCGCTGCATCTGATATATGAGCCAGTTTTTTTTTCTTATAAAATGCTTTTCTGTTGAAGCACTCTAACAAGTGACATTAAAGCATTTGTAAAAATTCAGTTTAAACTACAGATAAAACCTTAGACATGTCGTCTTATGTGCGGTCAGTGTCATTTTCTTAGATATGATGTCATGAAACCGAACATCTCCAAGCTGATTACATTCAGAGTTTGCTCTGTTTGTTGCAGGTTGCCTTGAGAATCCGACCCCTCAGCGATGCTGAGCAGGAGGAGGGGGCTACAATTGTGGCCCACAGAGTGGACGACCAGGTGAGACATTGGTCTTTTAATATTTCATTCTGCATGTGAGTGAGTGATGGGTTGGCTTTGTGTGAAAGAGGGATACTGTCTTCCTCCCTGCTTGTCATGAAACTGCACAAATAAGGTGCCTACAGGGACCTTTGCAACGTCAGCATCTCTTTAAAAAAAAAAACAACCTAATTTATAAAGCATACATCATAATGCATATGTATATGAATGCTGCAAGATTCAGACTCAAGCAATAAAAAGCTCCTTAAAGGTCTTAGACTATGTGTTTCATATATTTTAAAATTTTCACCTTTAAGATTTATTTAAAAAAAACATTATTACACGTGCGGTTTTAATGTCACTTGCTTGTTGTCCCCATTTTCAGATGTAGTTATATGGACTGTGACACTAACAAGCACTACCCAATAACTGCTCCAATTACTGAGGTCTTGAAAAGGTCATAAAAAGCATTGATTTTAATTTTCATAATGGTGCAAGAACTTTGTGATGTGAATGGCAACAGAGAGAGACGGCTAGGGCAGCAAGTAGTAATTATTTCTATTTCTGAATCTGTCTGATGCTTATGAAGTATTTTTCAGCCACCTAGTCATTGGAAATGAGTAGTTCACCAATTAGCAGTGCACTTGTTCTGTAGTGTCAGACAAATGGACAATGGACAAATGCTTATGCCTATTTTTATTCCACTAATACTTTTATCTTGCTAACTTAGCGCCTACATTACCCAAGATGCAATTTGACAAACAGTTTAATTGGAAAGTCTTTTTCCGTTTTGTTGGTTCTATGATTTGAATTTCTTTGGCTTTTACTGTTGGTCTGACAAAACAACACATCTGGCTTTAATATGAAAACAGCCAGTACTGGCAGCCTCATGCTTGGTTCTGTTTGTTTCCACTGTGGTCTTGTTTCAGTTTTCCACCAACTTGTTTGACATTACTTTCCAACTTATATGACAAATAAGCAGCTTTGAATGGAGCTATTACTCTAATTGTGTTTTCTATTAGAGTAAACCATGACGAGAATGACTCAGAGTGAACAGAATGTAGATTGGCTATCATGGCCATAGCTGTTCCCCATAGCCAATAAGTTTTAGGCATATTTTATAAACTACAACCAAAACTGGATTTTTCTATTCATTTATTCTGGCAGTGGAATAGAAAAAGAAACTGGACTTGGTTTGCCGTCATAGACCAGATGGCCTTTTTCCCAATGAGCATAGTATTTAATGAGGTTGCTACCATGTGACCTTTCATATGAGAAGGAAACATTGCGTGTGCAAGTCCCTTGAGCACCATTTTCACCATTACGCCTCACATTTGTGCAGGTCCCTCTTCGAGATCATTTAGTAGATTGTGCAGTGGTGATGACGGTAGTGCAAACGATAATGAACATCGTGACTGGGAACCTGCTGAGGTGTCTCCTCACGTAGTGTAGGCTGATTGAGGCATTTGTAGGCCTGCTGGTGGTGGGCAGCTTCTCTTAACCAAGACAAAGCCAGAAAATTAACAGTAGCAACTGATGACTCACCACAGTAAAACAGTGAGAAGTGTTTGTGGAGAATGTTATATTGAATAAAGGATATGATTAGTGTTTTTTCATGCTGTTGAGGGAATTTGCTAGAAACTCATTATCCACGACGCTGGTATATCACTTGTTTGTCTTAACGTAAGTAATTTAATCACAGTTTAAGGACAACATCAGCACCAGTCTGGCATGACATCATTAAAATAGGCTTGGACTCAGGGGATTAGTGCATAACACCAGGAAGGTAGATATGGTGCTGACACAGCCACTATAATAAGGCTCAACCAAACCTCAGCTAGAAAAAAAATGTTTCCTCTTCAGCTTGACTCAGTGTGTTGATTTCACTCCTGAATACCACAGTACATAGTTTATTATATCTGAGAGTGCTGATGTGTGGCGTCTTTGAGGTTACGTCAGGTTCACTTGTACACGTTCACAACAAAGGATTAGTGGAGCTTACGCTACACACTTGTTATCGAGACAGTGGGATTGTTGGGATCTGTTTTTTACCTGTGGGCTTACCTGGGCTGCCTTGACATGAATGGAGGGGATATTGTGAGATAAGGTCACATCGTCACAGTGGATGTGGTGGGATTATATTGCACGACAGGGCTGAATCTGTTTACCTGTAGCTGTCACTCCTGTGGTAGTCATCACATACAGAGAAATAAAGAGTGATGTCTACACTACATCTTAAATCCTTTATAGACAGCATCTTTTTGCAAGCAAACAAGACAGTGCATATGTTACTTTGTTGGTAAGATGGTAAACATATGGCCCAACGGTAGTGCTCAGACAGATTAGCAGAGGGCTGGTGGCTGACTCGGCGGACTGGGCCGGAGTACCCAGATCTGGCTGTCCTGGCAGAAAGCAGACAACTTGGAAGCTGGCTAAGCCTGTGGAGATGAGCTCATTGGATGAGTTTTAGCTCAGGTTAAGCCTTGTGCCACCTGCTCTTTTTCTCTCTTAGGCTTACTCTTCCCCCAGAGACAGCCTGTAGGGATCTTCATGGACCACCTGTTGCACTTACACTCAATGGGCTTTTCTTGTCCTTGAGTAAGTAGGAAAATAGCCACAGGTGTAGTGGGTAATATATGTGAATGGGATCTTAAATGTTGCAGGTTTTTAGTCACTCAATAGCATAATAATCTAGTGAAGTTTCAGCATAGAAAAGAGACTTTTATCCCTTTCAGAAAAGCAGTGGTAATTTATCTGACTGTACTGTACCATCACTGCCTGACACAATGGTCATTGGGAAACAAAGAAACCTTGAATTATTAAGACTGGCTACTTTCAGCTCTTTCACAAGGGATCAGTATAGCAGGCTTCTCCACACATTCGATCTTGAACTTTAACTTTACCTTCCTGATGCAGCCTCCTCTGGGAGGATTTATGTCTGCTCCCAGGACTGTTCCAGATAGCTTTCGTTTGTTAGGTAAATGTGTAAACCACTACATTATGGGACCACTGAACTAATGGAACCAGTGTAGCCTCTAACACTATGGACCTTGAGAATCAAAGAAACGTTGAACTGTTGAGGGAAAAACTAAATAGCCTAATTCATCTTAAAAACAATAATTGGGCATAATTTTTACTTCTAAAGAGACTATTCGGCATATGTGACTATTGGACATAATTGTTACTTCTAAAGAAAATGAGAAACAATTTTAAAAAACTAACCTAACAAACAAGCCTAGGTGTATTGGTCTTTGCTAATGATGATATAATACAAAAAAGATAACAGCTCTTGCCACAGATGATAATATAATTCCTATGGTCTGCAAATATTTTGTTTTTTCAGACAGGTTCCGGTGAGTAGCAAAAAGTAATGTAACGCATCAACTTTTAAATGCTGTTGGAAACCAGCTTTTAGAGTGAGAGGTGAGAGGTCAGTCCTTAAGAGGCTAACACTAAGGCTATGTTTAGCCCATAAGGTCTAAAGATGGTCACTCAGTCTTGTGAACATAATTACTTAGAACATTTTCACTTAACAAAGTCTGATGTGACATTTTAATGGTTAAACTAAAGTGGTAAGTAGAGGTAGAGTCATTGAAAATACACTTAATTATTTAAAAGGTATTTTATCTTTAGGGTTGGGCAATAGTTTACCCATCACTGGGCATCACTGCCTTGTCACTACAACAAACTTTGTTATGTATTTATTGAGGTATATATACAATTTGCAATTATCATTTTTGTGTTAAATTGTTAAAAAAAAAAAAGAAAGAAAGAAAGAAAGAAAGAACGAAAATCAGCAAGCTGTGGAACCCATTTCAGTTGAAGTTGAGATGAAGGGTGTCTTGCAGCCTCTAAATAAACAGGTGGGATAACACATGTTGTTAAATGATCAGGGATCACCACCTATGATGTGTCCTTGTCCGAGAAGAGAGAGTAATACGTAGCACTTGTCTAAACTATTATAGGCAAGCTAGCTATTTGTCAGACACAGGAGTGGAGACATTCACTCTGGTGCTTTGTTCAATACAACCTAAAAGTGACCATACCATACTAGGTGTCCTCAGCACTACATTTCATTGAACATGGGAATCTCAGTCAAAGCCTTATTTCTGTGCCTGTGTCCTGTGTCTTAATTCAAGCACTGCAAAGGAGGCATCACCCTGTGGCTCTCTTCAGCAATTCCACTTTACAAGCTGATTATTTTTACAGAGTACATTAAGAAAAACCTTTTGCACAGATCCCTTATAAATGTGCAGACACTTTATGTAAAAACTGAATCCATTTTCAAAGGCGGAGCCAGAAAAGGAATATCAGAAAAATTAGTACATAAATTCATACACATGTATGTAAAATATCTTTTAGTAGAGTTGAGTGTTTGCGTCACGCAGCATGTGTCTTAGCCTTTGGAGTTGTAAGGCATGTTTTTGGCCAGGCTGGTCTGTCACCACACAGAGGGGAATGCTTTATGTTGAGGCCTCATCTCCATAGAGACACCTAGACAAGGTCAGGGCCATTGTTTGTTTTTGTTTTCTGTTTTCTGTTTTTGTTTTTTCATTTCTGTTCCTCAAAATTACAGTCCAACATTTGTGAGAATAAAGGAAACCGTTTTCGAAGAAGTTCACAAAAACTGTGGATTTTTCCTTGTTGCTTTTCAGTCAGCACGTGAATTGTCTGCATCAAATACGTTCTTGCATTCATTAGTGGGACATCTGTACAGCTTAGCTTGTCTGTGCATTCTGCACTGCATTTCATGGGTATTTTATGACAGTACAATTTCTGTAATGTGCAGGGATTCCCATGTACTTATATATCGGGTGTTCTAAAGAAAATTCTCAGGGACAGGTTTTGTCTCTCATGTTCATCTTTAAGAGAGAGAATGTCAGCCAGAAGGCAAACAAAAATGTAACCTTTTACCTCCTGCTTCCTTTGTAAAGATCACATCCTTTGAGACAATCAGCAGCATTCAGCTTGGTCCAAGCACAGGTCAACGTCATTACAGTATGCCCATTAACTGGCAAATT